CTCACTTCTGCAGCTGCAGCTTTCAGTCAAACTGAAGATTTTTACGGCTCTATTTCACGTCAGCAGGAGTTACTGGAAACATCAGTCTGGTGTCGTTTTCAGTCTGAGAACTTTCTGGAACACAGGAACTTAAACTATGAGGCGCAGTGATGCATAATAATCATGCAWAATGGTTTAAAGTAGACAAACACACACCAGTTCTACTGAAACAGGAAGTACTTATTATATAGCCCATTATTATGAGGGTGTGTACTTTATGTTTAATATAGCTATGGCAATGAGCTTAGTGTGAGAACACAAACAGAAACCACAGCAGGCTTAGCAGTACCTCATAAGAACTCAGTGGACCGGACCAAACCAGATAAGGACATGAGTGAAACTCSAGAACATGTGTGGGCATAGCTAAACTGTAAAAAAGGCTTGTGAATCTTGGGGTGAGCTGCACGTAACAYTGAGGTGATGCTTGCTTCTCGTTGATCGTCTCTTAAATGCATTTGGTGATTTAGTGTAATGGGATTATTCTAATGGTGTGAAATAAATCTCTTAAACTAAAGTGACCCAGAGTGTCTCCAGAGGGTTTCCTCAACCAACCAGCTCGGGGAGGTCGGTGAACCTCGACAGCATCCACCTTCACAAATCAGTTTTAGGCTCATTTAGATCAAAGTTTAGAAACATCACTGTGACAAGAAGTGATCATGAAACCCTTCAGAAATGAGTTTAGTTTTTTTTTTATAAACCAGTTGGAAACAATAAACCTGATCTGAAGCATTTTTTTCTCTCTGGAATAAACAGCTGTCACATTTTATATTTTACATTTGCTACAAGTTAAATAGTCATGGACAAGAAATCACCTTCCAGATTGTTTTGATCCTCATTTTCTTTTTAATATAGAACACTGAACATACTGTATGTGATTCTATGTGTCCTAATGTGTTTATACTGTATAAGTCTTGATTTTTGTCTTTACACCTCTGACAAATGCTGTGCTGCTTTGAACCAAATCCCATCGACAGCATGTTAACATGCAACTGTTAGCATAACAAAACATTCTGAAAACTCACTTTAAATAATTCTGCAAACGTGTAAAGGTTGAAAACATAATTCGGCCTTCCAAGACAAATACTGTGTGTTTTTGTGATCATCTGGAACCTGAAAACACACATTACATGCACCGTGAGCCCCMCTGGAGACTGACAACAAGCAGACGTATTTTAGAACATTATTGACTTTAAAATGCATCCATCATGCCTGTGGAGTCAGTATTTGTCACACTGAAGACAGTCACTCAGTGTTGAACAGCTGTGCTTTTGTTTTCATAAAGAAAAAACACAAAACTCTTATAAACCTGGAATAACCTCTGCATAAAGATGCGTTTTCATGTTGCTTGTGTGAATAACAGCCACGACCAGTTAGTTCATTGTCACAGATGACAAAAAAGAAAACATATCCTTCATATTTAAGATGCTGAAACTGGAAAATTCGAGTTTGTTTAAAAAATATAAACCAGGACTACAAGATTTAATAACTACCGAATGAGCTGCTGAATAATTTGTAATATAAGCACATTAATGAAAGCAAAGTAAACGACATTCAGGACTGAAACTGTGAGTATTCAGTGATTATTATTCAACAGTGCTTAAAGAAAAGCTTTAAATAGTGGATGTAGTTTGGCAACCAAATCATAATTAGAAAAAAAAACCCTATGAATAAAGTTAGCTGTTTACACAGAAATACTGTAAGAAACCAAAGAAACACTCAGCATTTGCTACGTAACAAAAAGTCAGGAGCCACGTCTGACTTTACAATCTTCAGAGTCAGAGAAGGCATCTACACCTGCAGGCAGTGTAGCATATCAAGGTGTGTTTCTGAGGCGCACACAGTCTTACAGGAGGGGGGAGTCTGTCGTTACTTTTACAGTAAGGCAGCATCTCTRATGTTTGCAGGAACACATGCTCTTCAGTGTGGAGAAACTGCCTCTTTATTTCCTCGTCGGCTCACGTGTGCAGACAGGAAGTCTCCGCCTGTCAGAAAACGGTCCTGCTCCCTGCGACCGGCACAACAACAAAGATTAAGCTCAGGTTAAGAAGCTCTACAAGGTGCTCAGGATTACACGGCGCCACTTCTGAGCTCCGACACCCTTTCAGATGCATTTCTACTTCCAAAAGGTCCGAACAGTGCCGTCCACAAAGAGAGGGGGGGAGTGGGGTATTAAGAGTTCGAAGAGAAGGTTTTACTGCTCTGTGGGACAAACGCTGCGATCTTTGCAGCAGAAATAATGCACCACCACACCGTTAGGATACCTGGCAAACGCACTGAAAGAGAAAACAGAAAATAATGATTTAATGTCATCATTCTATTTAAACAGATAACAGTTTATATTTTAGAAATAAATCCATCGTAACTTTTTATTTAAACTCAAATCAATACCTAAAATGAAAAAATAAAAATAAAAAAAAACAATCCTGGGGAAATGAGAGTTCACCCTTTTCCAGTTTCAGTTAGAACATAAAAAYATTTTGTTTTTCTCAGATTCTAAACTTATTCAAATTTAAAATGAACAAAATAAAGATTTTTTTCATGTATCATTTAATGAACAAAAAGAAATTGGAAAATGTGAAACCCCAAGTATTTAAGTCCTGGAAGACTATGATTTAAAGAGGTTCAGGTTTGACTCACGCTGTAGCAGTGTTTACCCACAATGCACAGCAGCTTCTATGGAGAAAACTAAASCCAGCACATCAGCACAAACATGTCAGAACAACTGAGTTGATGGTTTGGGCTTCTAGCAGACAAAAAGTCAACAAACAGACCAAAATCATTTTAGAGTGCAATATGAGGCCATCTGTTTATTGACCGACACTTGGACCAAACTGGGTCACGATGCAACAGAACAACTGAAAAAGAAAAGTTCTGATGTGCTGCAACGGTCCAGGCCTCAGTTTGACTGAAATGCTGCRGAGAGCAGAGCAACAATAAATATCTACAAACCTCACTGGAAAGAAGAGTGGGCCAAAACTGCTCCACAACCATGTGAGAAACTCAGTCACACCAGAAACAYTTTAATTGCTGCTAAAAGAGATTCTACAATCTGTTGAATCATGAGCTCAGTTGTTCCTATTTCACTTGTTTATTTCATAAATAGCACAGTGGAACATTTGTTTTTGTTTACTTGAGTTTAGATTTAAATCAGTTTAGAGTCTGATACATTAAACTAAAAACTTCGAGTGTGATCACCTCCAATTAGAAAATAATGTGCTCATAAAAACACCATGTCATTTCAAATCTGAAACATTCAAAGGTTGAACATGTAGCATGAACGATCAGGACCCCTGACCACCACCGGTCATGTAATTAACTGAACTTTGTTCTGAAAAAGCTTTCTTAAAGGCTAATTCTATCTAAGCTTTCAATAATCTGTCCTCGTCTCCAGATAATGTTGATACGACAGTCTATTTTAATCTTATGTGATTTATTTAAAAATAATTCAACATGATTTTCCTAAAGTACAGTATTTTATTTTAAATGTGTATTGTCATACTGCAAAAGATGAATCATTAATTTTAACATAATTGTTGATGTAAGTGAAATTTTCTCCTCTTTTCTCCTGAGCAGATAAGAAGGAAACAACACTGCATAAGTGTTCTGGATAAGGGGAAGAAGAAGAAGAGTCTAATTAAAAATGGTGAATAAATATTGGTCAATAACTTGGCCTGGTGCCCCCCACTCCCCACTCCCACCCACTTGGCAAAAATGTAGTGCAGGTCAGAAAAGACCCTTTCTGCTCCTCTCCTACCAACTTGTTACATACAGTAATAAAAGTAAATATTTTCACACAGATTAACTAATATTCTTAGGACTGAGTTACCTGTTTCCTATTTTCTTTTTACAGACTCTGCAGGTCTTTTCTTCTGTAATGACACATTTAATCTGCTGATGGAAGATTCGCTCCTCCTGCACCTGAAAACACACAAAAATCTTCTTTGACGTCTTGTTTTATGACTGAGATACTTGTGTTCAATGATAAGAACAACACTTAGAGCTATAAAATCCTGTGACATTTTAACAAACACATTATGGAAGAGTCAAGTTTTAATCCCCTGATTTTCTAATGAGTTTCACAATTTAATGAAGTATCTCAGTGGTTCTGCAATAACAAATGAAATAAAAACGTGTAAGTTTGAAACAGGAAAGAATAGATTATTTACTTTTATTAGTTTCTATTTTTCAGACTACTTCAAAAAAGAAACACGTCAGGCTGTATGGACATTAAAGGTGATTATTATTATTATTTTTTTTTACATTTAAATCCTGCAGAACTCACCCTGAGGAACTCGGCCTGCAGCAGACTCTTCAGCACCTGGTTGCAACGTTTTTTCTGAGCCTTCTCCTCCAGAACGCTCTCCAGGAAGACCCGGATCTCTCGGATTTGAGTGTTTGCTGGGAGCAGATTGATGGCCTGGAAAAATATAAACACAGCTGACTGTAATTTTTTATTTAAAAACAAGTAAGGTGTAACAAAAAATAAAACAAAGTAGCATGGAGTTAAAGAATGAGCTGTGCAATAGAATACAGAAACAATGAGTTTGAAAGACTTGGATTTCCTTGCATTAATATAAAAACCCWGCTGCTCAGTCATTGCTTACCTTGGTGGTGTTCAGTTTACTGTGGTGCAGCTCCAGGACCTGCAGAGCTGCCTGCAGGTTGGCCTGAGGCTCAGAGAGCTCCATCTTGATGGGCCCCAAGCAGTGGGCATCCGGAGGAGACAGGTACATCCTCAGCAGAGAAAGATACACCTAGAGGATGCAGTCACGTCTGTTAATTCTTCTCTAGAGTCACATCAGTATCTTGGATCTTTAAAAAATGACTCCTACAATTATAGGAAGTTCACTTTTAATTTAAATTTAATCCTAAAGCTGGTTTTCTGTGGGTTCACTATATCTGATATCTGCTGACAACTTCTCTGTGGCCTTTATTTTAGAATCAAGCATTATTTTTCTAAAAACAAATACAGACAATATCTGCAGTCATTTTGAATTTGATAAAAGAAAATAATTCCCCATCCCCCACAAGTAATATATATATATA